TTTTCTCTTTTAGTAGAGATGGGATTTCACCAAGTTGGCCAGTCTGGTCTCGAACTCCTGGCCTCAAGCATTTTGCCCGTCTCAGTCTTCCAAAGCGCTGGGATTACAGGCATGAGCCACCACGCCCCACCGTCAAAATTGCTTTTTAAAAGTGTGTTAAATTCAAAAAAAGAAGCCAGAAGAAAGAAGGCAGACAGTGGCATTCAGGCAGCAGGAGGGCTGTCCTCATGGTCCTTGTGGTGGGGGCATGACCTCCTGCTGAAGGCCAGTCCACTGAGCTGGCACCCACAGAGGGGTGCCTGGAGTGTTTGCAGCTGAACAGCCTCCAGCCAGGGCTATCAGAAGGCAGAGAGACCTAGAGTGCGTTGAAAGTCACCACACAGGTTTCCAGGGACCTTCCCTCCCTTCCCTGAGTCAGCATTCATGCATACATTCCTTCCCTTATTCATTCAAAATGTGTCTGGCCAGCCTACCAGGCGCCCAGCACATCAGACCTCTGTTCATTTGCTCATAGACTCATTCATTCGTTCACTTAATCACTGTCTCTGTCTAGTCACAAAGCAAATAGCTACTCCTGCCAGCTCTAGACAGAATGATTTCAAACCCTAATTAGTACCGTGGGGCTTAATGAGGTTTCTGGGGATTCTCATTATCAGGGAAATCATTTCAGAAAAGCTGTCCATGATACAGTGGGCAGGGGCACCTCATGTCAGTGAGGAGCCTCTTCCTGAGATGAGCAACCGAGGAAACACCAATTAAGCAAGAAGGTTGTGGAAGGGGATGCCCCTGGCTTCCCAGGGTGCAGAGCATGGATGCTTAGCTGAGGGGTGGGACTGGAACCTGGCTGCCAAAGCAGCTCTGGCAGCAGAAGCAGGGATGGCCAGGCAGCACCACGCGTGGTCAGCATGCATCCCAGATTTTAGCTTGCATGTACTGATGACTTCCACCTACAAAAGACATAGTGACGCTCAGTTGTTCATTTGTGCATTTTAATTAACTGATTCCTATTCACACACTCGCTCATTTAGCCATTCATGCAGTTTTCAGATGTTTAATGAGCATGTACTATGTGCCAAGCAGCTTCCTAATAAACACACATGTATTCATAAATCCATGCATCTGCGGACTTCAAATGTTCAACCCCATAGATGGCTTGGGGCTTGCAGGGACTGATCCTCCAGTGTCGTCAGGAGCCTCTGGGAAGGTGGAAAATGCTTCCTACAGAGGCGGGCATTTGAGCTCCATGTGGGGAAGGCCCAGGGCAGCTCTAAGCTGATTGCAGAGTCCCAGGTCCCGAAAATAGTGAGGCTTCCGGGTCGCGAGGTCACACCAGCATCCGTGACGTCAGCAGGCCGGCAGCAGCCCTCAGCCATGAAGGTTCAGATCGTGTGGGCTGTGGGTCCCACGGTCCCAGCGTCAGCCGGGCGCCCTCTGGCTCGGCCTCAGGATGCCCAGCGCCATGCATGGTGCAGCTGAGGCAGCAGGAGCTCACTCTACCATGAAATATTCATGACTGCTGGCAAAGCCCGGCCCTGAAATATAGTTTGCAGAAGAAAAAGAGCCATCAGGCATTTAATCGTTGTGTTAATGATGCTTTATTTGGAAGCAAACTCCATCTGACGGCATCCCAGCCAGCAAGAGTCAGGGCCTGGCCAACCTGTGCTGCCGGCTGCAGTGCAGCCTCATCCCCGAGACACCAATGGGATACACGCCCGGGCAAGGCACAGGCCTGGCTCGCGGTCATGGCCAGTGGCCCTCCACTTCAGGGGAGCCCATGAGATTACAACGGAGGCCTGAGGTTTGCCAAAAAGCATCCTTTTAAGTAGAAAGCAAGCAACGTCCCTGCATGGAGGCCGCACAGACCCAGTCTGGCTGAGCAGGGGCTAGACGAACTCGTTTTCCCTAAGCAGCTTCCTCGAGGGCAAACACTACCTCTCCTGCCTCCAGCTCCCCCTGCTGCCCAAGCCACCACAGGTCAGTGTCCTCCAAGGTGGGCGGCACCCCAAGGACCTCCCCACAGGAGCTTCCCAAGGTGACCTCCTGGGCTACCCTAGCTCAGCCCTGCCTCGGGTTTTGTTCTCCTACGGGCCCCTGTCTGGGGCAAAGGTGTCACACAGCTCCACCAACATCAGGCTTTTCCTCCCAAGGACGTCCACCTGCTTCTCAACCGAGCCTTCCCGGGCTGGGTCCGCTCTTGGCCAATGGCCGGTGCCCCTCTGGAAAGGGCTGTCTCGCGCCTACCTGCCCCTCTGAGCTGCTTTTCAGAACTAATTTCCATGTAATGAGAACACAGGGAAATCTCATTATTTCAGACACTGCTAATTAGGGGTTTGTGATCAGCCTGTCCGGGGCCAGCAGAAGCTGACATTTGCTTTCTCCACGGACACTGCAAATTAACAGCCAGACAAGATCGCCAGGACCTTTATAAAGCCGGAAGCAGCTCCTGCAGCCACGGTCAGCGTCGGCAGCCACCCTTTCCACCAGGCGTCCTGATTCCAAGTCTCTTCCTGCAACAGGAGGGGAGGTCTCCAAAGGGTGGGCATCCAGCAGCAGCACCACAGACCTGTGGGTGTTCCATCTTCAGAGGCCCCAGAGCAGCCCATGGAGGGCCGTGCTAGTATTATTCCCACGTCACAGGGGAAGAAATGAGGCGGGGAGGGGTCAGAGCTCTTCCCAGATGGCACAGTGAGTACATCACAGGCACGTGCCCCAGGCCACCGGGCCCCACTGCCTCCAGGGTCCTGGCAACTCCCCCCAGGGACGGTGGGTGGAGAGGAGGGGTTGCTGGCAAAACTCAGGGCCCCTGGAGAGCAATCCCCACCCCGGGAATGGACTCAGTGCGTCCCAAGCTCCCTTCTCCAGCTCTGCCAAATTCCATCCCACCAGGGAGACATGGGGTCCGAGTAAAGGGACCCCTTCTCCTTTGTGAACTTAGAGGTCCATAAAGGACAACAGTCCAGGGCAGCGAGGCACGTGGCGGTGGAGAGTGATGAGGGAGACGAGCCCCAGCCATTCTGCTGTGGGGGAGGTGCCCCAAGGGGTGCACAGTGAGGCCTGGGCAGTGGGAGCCCCAGAAGCTGCAGAGCGGGAGCCACTGCTGGACTGTTGACGTTTACGGACCTCTGGATGTCCAGAATCAGGTTTTCCATTCCCACGCTGCCCACCATGACAGAGCGGAGGACACAGAGGGAAGAGAAAGCGCCCCCTGAGAAGGGGGGCAGGGACCATGGAGCCCTGGAGGGAGTTCGGACAGGAAGGAATGCCACTGAGCGCATTTCCTGAAACTTCCAGCTACCCCTCCCCCGAGTCTTTCCCAGGGCCGAGGTCATCCCTGGTCAAGAAGCCCGCACCGCCACCTCCCTGCAGGGCCAGGCCCACTCTGCCGTCCTTACCCACTCCTCCTGTCTGGCGCTGGAGAGACACGGCGTCTGGAAACTCTGTCCCATCCCAGGTCGGTCCACAGCGAAGGGGCCGTGTCGGTGGGAGGCAGGGGATCTGGGGAAAGTGGCACTGCCCTAGGAGGGGCTGCTGGGAGGGGAGGCAGGGGCGAGGCCCTGTACAGAGCCTTCCCCCACCACGGGAGTCCCAGAAGGGCACGGCCACGCCCTCCAATGCCATGCCTGTGCCCACAGAAGCCCTGCCTTCCTCCCAGCCGCAGGCAAGTCTGCATCCTATGTCCCGTGGTGAGGCCCCAAGAAGCTGTGGAGGCCACTGTGGTTGACCCCGGTGGAGCCCCATAGCCACCTTGCCCGGAGGCCTTCAGCAACTCCTCAGGGAGGGGAGGTGGGGGCGGGGATGACCTTGGCGCTCTGGGGTCCCTGGTTCTTTCCTCTTCAGTTATTTCATGTCACCTGGTGCACCTGTCTAGGTCTCAGGGCCCATCAGTGTCCAGCAGCACCCAGGGACACACCCAGACGTGTGGAAGCAGCAGGGCCTGGGTGGAGGACTGGGTTCCACCAGGACTGGGGTCTTTCCAGAAGGACACAGGGAAGGAGAGAGGGAGGTGCGGTGCAGACAAGGAAAGGGTGGAAGGGTGGGGCTGGGGGAGAATGGGCACTGGAGATGGAGGTGGGCTCTGCTGGCCACAAGGGCGGGGAAGGTGGAGCGGAGTCAGCGTCCTCTGCCAGTGCCTGGGATCCTGCACCCTGGAGGCAGCCTTGCGATGAGCCCTGCTGCAGGCCTGTGGACGTGACGTGAGCCCCACCGTTTCATGGCCGCCCCGCTCCCTCTGTTAGAGTTTGGCCTGAGTCCATTTGTACTGGCAGCTTCCACAACACCCACTGAGATCCACGCCAATGCGCCCCTCCCACGAGAACCCAGGTCACTCCCACTTGGTGACTGCGGACGAACTTTCCGGGTGTCACATTGGTCCAGTCCCAGGTATAGCCCAGGCCCTGTGTCTGAGAGTCAGTGGGCTTCACAGGCACCCACCACGGGGTGCACACCCCAAACCGCCACAGCTTGTCACCAGTTGGGGGGACCCTGGGGTCTCCTCTCTCTCTCTTCCCCACTCCCCAGGCTGTCCTTCTCTCAACTAGGGGGCTTCCATCTGGATTCCAGCCCACCCCCATGCACCGGACGCAGGAGCCCTGGGTGCCGGCCACTCCATGAAGGCGATCGTGGTGCTGTATTTGACCTTGTGACAGCAATTTAATGAAATCTGGAAATCTAGGCAGGCACCTGGTTCAGGACTCATCCCCTGTTGCTAGGAAACCAGGTCCTGTGGATCCCACCCTGCTCCACCTGGAGACAGTGGGACAGACCCTCTTGCAGCTGAAGCCAGGGCTGGGGACGGCTGAAGACTGATGGGGACAGCAGTGGCCTTTGCACTGGCTGACTTCACAGTAGAGCTCCCACGGGTGCCAGGAAACAGCGTGGGTGCGGGGGCGCTGCCCTCCCTACGAGGCCTCCCAGGCGCTGCAGGTCCACCCCCAGCCCTCCCTCCAACTCCCCCTCCACTTCTCATACCCCGTCTACCCACCCTTTCCCTCCCCCTCCTCCACCAACTTCCACAGACTCCAGTCTGTCTCTCCTGCTCCAGGTCACTTAGAAGCTTGTGGCGCATCCCTCGGTACCTCTCTCTGCCTGCGCACCGTAAGCTCCCAGACTGCAGGGCCATACCTGTCCCCTCCTGGTCTCCCCAGCACCCTGCAGACTAGTGGCCCTTCAGACACCTTGCACCCCAGTGGAGGGTGCGGAGGTTGGTGGAAAGTGCGCCCTGTGGTTCCCGGAGAAATGGCAAGCATCGGGCAGTGTTTCACAAGGGTCCCCCCACCCAGCTGATCTCGCCAAGCCATTAATGCAAGAATGTGGGGCCAATGGGTTTCTGCCAGGCGTGCCAGGGCTGAGAGCACCCCTGGGTCCTCACAGCCCCCACTGTCCAGGGACAACAGAGTCCTCCTACCCTTTGCCATTTCCATGTTTCTCATTTCAATAATTCTTGCAGCCCATGTTGTGTAAAAAAATTATTCTTCCCAAAAAAATCATTAGCAGGGCCCGACATTAATTCCCCTGCAATCTGTGTAATTAATTGCATGTAACATAGGGCATTGAAGGACCGGTTTGCTAATCACCACTCCTCCGCTCCACGCACCTAATTAAATCTCCTTCCTGTTTATCCACTTACAGGATCCTCTGCAAAGATACCAGGCACCGGGAACACTGCTGTAATAAATCTTTGTGTAATTTTAGAGGGTGCAGTCCCACTCCGTGTGTTTGCGTTTCATTCCCACTGCTGAGCCGCTCCTCCCTGCAGCCACGTCTCCCCGTGAGTCGGCTGAGCCGTGGCTCTGTGGAAAGCACTCTGTGGCCCCCTCTGGGGTGGGAGGGCGGGATGCTGTAGCACCGGGCGAGGTGGGCTCGGGAAGGGGCGATCACAGGAGCCCAGCTCTAGCACCCTGCGGCAGCACGGCCCTCTTGGGTTCCGGCACCTTCCCCACTGCAACCACTTATACTAAAGCCTTTCACACTGTCCCATTCCCACGCCTGCCTTCATGAGCGGGGCTGGGTCCCTGGGCCATTCCTCAGACTCCTGGCTGTCCAGTCCCATTACACGGGGGCCGGCGAGGACACAGGGAATGATGGTGCCCTGCCACTAACGGGCCGGCCGGGAGCCCCATATGCCAGTACAGGTGTCCTTAGAAGAGGGGAAGCGGGAGCTTTGACATGAAAGAGACCATGTGGAGACAGAGCAGAGCCTGAAGGGGCACCTGCAGCTGCCAGGAGCCGGAAAAGGCAAGAAAGATCCTCCCACAGAGTCCTCGAGGGGGAGGGTGTCCCGCCACACCTTGATTTGGGACTTCTGGCTGGCAGAATGGGGAGAGCATGGATTTCTGCTATTTTGAGCCTCCAGTCTGTGGCATTTTGTAACTGCAGCCCCAGGACACAAATATAGCTATTAAATCAGAATCTGAATTGGGACGAGACCCCCAGCTAATGCGACGCGTGACGTTTGGGAAGCTCTGGACTCAGTGCTGTCTGGAGTCTGAGTCATCTCTTGGCCCAGCAAGACCTGACTCTGAACTGAATACTAATGAGCACGCAGACCCCTTCATGTTAAACTGGCCGTGTGGTTGATCCTCTCCCTGCATCGGTCCTTTCAATCCTCCCACCCCACGGGAGCGGTCATACCATCACCCAGGATGGGAAACTGAGGCTGAAAATGAAGTTACTTGTCCAAGAGCACCTCTTTAGCCAGTAGCTGAGTTGGGATTAGAGCCTGGGGACTCTGGTTTATGGAATCTCTTAGCTGTTGGGCCAAGCCTGCTCTCCCATCTGGGGCCTCTTGTTCACGGCTTTGAGGATGATGATGCCACCCATCTCTGCACCGTGCTGTCTGCTCCAAGCATGCAGGTGGGGTGGGGAAGCTGAACTTGGACGGCCAGGCTGAACTTGCTAGAAGAGACTGGGGTTCACTGTGAGAGCACGGGTGGACCTGGGTGGACCAGAGGCCATCTTTGCACCATGATCATTGGATGGGATGCAGGTGGCCTGAGCACCAGAGGTGGCCAAGGGGAGGCAGCAGCATCACAGATACCCATGGCCTGGACCTGTTTGGGGCCCTGGGAACATGTGGTCTGAGCTGGCGCTGGGGTCCTCAGCTCTCCCCACCTCTGCTTCCCTCAGCTGCCTCCTGCAGCACTGCCCAGACACCTGCCCACCTGAGGCCCAGGAGGGCTTGATTCCCGTGCTGAGGGTCAGTTCCCCTGAAGCCATGCCAGAGACAGAAACAGTTGTGCAGGGGGTCTCCCAGGAGCCCTCTCAAATAGACCCATGTGAAAGAGCACAGGAAGCTGGGCTGGACGGGGGAGAAGCTGAGCTCTGGTGCAGTCGAGAGTCCTCGGCTCATCTCCCAAGTGCGCAGAGCTACCCTGCGTCAGGGTGAGGGGCCCAAGACTTCCCAAGCCACACATCCTCCAGTCATGAGTCAACTTGGGCCAGGCTATTCTCTCCAGCCAAGGGCAAGTCTGGAGAGGGTTGGCCTGAGAGCCACTGTTGGCTGCCAGCACTCCCAGCACCGGGAAAACGCGTGCTTTGGTACTGCATGGGGAATCTGGGCACTGTGGCCCCAGGCCCACCCCACACCCAGCCCTGCTGCCGGCCCCGCTGGGATACCCCCACCCCACACTCCCTCCTTCGTCTCTGAGCCCCTCTCCCCAGCCTCCTCCCTTCTAGCTGCTGCTGATCTGCCCACGTGCTGGGAGATCCCGGTTCCTGGTCAGCAGAGAGGGCCTCGAATCCCCAGGTCAGAGTCTCAGGGTCACAGCTACTTCTCTGCCTGGATTTGGGGGTCACTTAATCACCACCGGCCCCCAAGGCCCTCCACATGCATGTCTAACTGGGCGTCTTTCCAAGCCTGTCTCTGGCAATTTCCTCCTGTTAATAACACTTCCATTCACCCCGTGCAGCAAATCTGTCACCACCAGCCCCCTTCTGGCCCGTATTTTTTACTTTTAATTATGATCACATGTGGAATATTGAGTAGTTTGATGCATTTTAGATGTCTACAGAGACTTCGTTTTAATATGCAATTGCAGGGCTCTGATGGCTCGTAGCTGGAGTCATTACTTCAATATGTGTGCAGCCAGGGCTCCCGAGTTGGACGCTTACCCCCAGCAAGGGGTGCTGTGTGGGGATGGAGGGGTTGGAGGTGGCACGGGAGTAATTACAAAGGGGAAAGTGTTCTCAGATCCCAGGGGTGAGCTCTGCCCTCCACTAGGTGGCACTCTCCTCCACTGCAGGTGGGCACTTTCTGGCACATTGCACCTGGATATGAAGCGACCCGCAGAGGCCACTGTGCATCCCCACCCTCACCAGAGGGTCTCTTCCCAGGAAGAAGTGACTGGCAGCACACAGCTCCATAAACTCACCTTCTCTGACCAGGACACAGCCAGGGCGGAGGGCACTCAGGGTCAGGTGCGGGTCTGAGCCTCACCCTGTCCTCCCTGAGATGAGGCGTCCTGTGGTCGGTGAGAGGTTGAACTGCATAGGCCCCACATTGGCGGCAGTCTTCAGCCCGCCGGCTGCAGGTGCACTGTTCTGACGACCAGGATGAGGGGGTTTGTCCAGAACATGGACTGGGATGGTTAATCTGGGGTTGGGGGTCTTTCTAGCTCTGGAGGAGACTCTTGGGGGATACAGAAGTCAGAAGGTAATGTGGGGGTGTGAGGGGGCGAGGGTGTGACCTGTGAGAGCGTCACCTCTGCTGAGATGACCCAGCCTCAGTAGGTCCCTCGTTCAGTCCATGGACGTGGCGCGGCCATGGGAGAGGCGGGTTCCTGCAGCTGAGGGGAATCCTGATGGACTGGGAGCCCTCGTCCTCCCTCAAGGGGGTCTCCAAGCTTCCCACGGACCACCCGTCACTCACTGGGATCCAGTCCAAGAGCAGCTCTCCAGGATCCCCAAGGGCCTCCTCTGGGAAGCTTATGAGGATGCTGGGGGCCTCCTTGGCCCCTGCCCACATCTGTCCTTAGGGTCTCCCCGTCCACCCTCCAGGCTCCATTCCCCCACCCCTCTGCTGATGGGTGGCTCAGACCCTCATCCCTGAGGGACCTTCTGGGTGGGGGTTACTGTCCCTATCCAGTTATGGTCACAGTCAGGCAAGGGAGCTGCAGGAGGTGCCCAAGGGGGTCAACTGGCTCTGCATGCAAGTCCCGCCCCCATGTGTGCCAGCAGCACCCTCCGATGGCTAGCGTCGATCTCCCCAGCAGATGCCAGCCCCCTTCTTCCCTGCTGGTGTCCAGAAAAAGGAGCCCAAAGGGTCCCAGCGACAACCATGGCTCAAAGCTGAGCAGGACACTGGCTGTGTCCCTGTGAGAGCTCAGCCGATCTGGAGACCAGGATTCAACTCTGTCGAACCCGAGCCATGGGGGATGGAAGCACAGGCCCCACAGCGGGTCACTGGGAGTGAAGGGAGGTGCAGCCAGCCATTCCTGACTCCATCCATTGAATCCAAGCCCACGTGTCCTTCCCACTGGGGACACGGCACCACATCAAAGTCTTTGTGGGGAGGCACCACCTCTCACGGGGCGTTGGCGTGCCCACCACTCTCCCAGGCAGTGAGCTCCAAAAGGCCATATGCGATGGGAGCATTGGCCCTGGGCAAGTGGTACCCAGTCCAGGTCTGACGTGGCATTACATGGGGTCCCACGCCAAGCGAGCCAGCCACTCTGCATGGCCCCAGATGGCACTGCTGGCAGAGGCCCAGCAGCAGGAAAGGCAAACCCAGGCGTGGGATCTGCACCTGTCCCAGGAGAACACACCTCTGTCCTTCCAGGAGGAGAGCCCAATGTAGTCATACAGGAGCCAAGCAGCAGCGAGGCTTTGCCTGGCAGGCTTCCCAGAGGCGGCCTCCTACGGACCTGTGGCTGCATCTCTGGACAGAGCTGCAGAGCTTCACAGACTCGGGGACTGGCCAGCCAAGACTTCACGCAGTCCACACATCCTTAGCCCAGGAGCCCCCACTCAGAGGCCTCTTTACCTCCTTTGGGGGAGGCAGAGGGAGGGGAGCTGAGGACACTCAGCACCCAGGGCTTCTGCACCGCTAGCCCTTGTCCCTCTCTGTCCCCCATCCCAAGTTCATACAGTGGCAGGAGCCTTTAGCTTGTGGCTCCCTTGGAAGCGAGGCAACCCCCACATCTGTGCTGATCCTCTGAATGTGGGCTATTCCAGGTAGGAAAGTGGAATGGGGGAGGAGAGGTCCAGGCTTTCTTTGCTGTGGCCTCTTGCTTATCCAATCACAGTCAAAGAGTGCTATGGGCTAAACTGTGTTCTCTTAAATTCATAGGTTGATGCACCGCCCCATATGACTATTTGGGGATAAGACCTTTAGAGGGGTACTTAAGGTGAAACAAAGTCCTAAGGGTGGGCCCTAATCCAATAGGACTGGGGTCCCCATGCGAAGAGGGAGAGACGTCTCAGATACACAGGAGAAAGGCCATGTGACGACACAGCAAGAAGGCGGCTGTCTGCAAGCCAGACAGAGAGCCCTCACCAGAAACCACATCAGCCGACGCCTTGACCTTGGACTTCCAGCCTTGAGAACTGTGAGAAAGTAAATGTCTGTTGCTTATGCCACCAGCCTGCGGTCTTGTGTCACCGCAGCCCCAGCTTACACCTGCAGTGATTAAAGCCTGGGCCATGACTTTCACCAGGGCCTGGTGCCTTCCTTATCTACTCCAGTGAGCTGGCC